CCAGATGAGGACTGACACAAATAGAGTCCAGACTATCCACTCCTTACTTCTGGAAGCTATACCTTTTGTAATAATGGCCCCAAATCTCATTAGCTTTTTTTGGCTGCCACATTTTTTAGCTACTGACTCATATTGAATTTTGTAATTCATTAAAAAAAACCTAGATCTTTGAGTCAAGTCTTTAGAAGCCTGGAAATTAGATCCAAACCCACATAATGTATTGTAATCTATTCTGCATTTCTCCATCTAATTATGTTTATTTTTGCTGCTAACCCTGCCTTTTTTATTTCAGCTGAAACATAATAAATTCTGCTCCAAGCCCTTATTTTAACTCTGTTTATCTCTCTGTTTCAAGTGTGTTTCTCCTAAACAACATATTGTTGGATTCTGGTTTCTAATCCATTCTGCTATCTACTTCTTATGAGTGAGATCATCCCATTACATTTGCCACTATTATTGATAAATGTATATTTCCCTCCATCCTATTTTCTTCTGTTTATCCTTCTCTTTCTCGCTCTTTTTTTTTTTTTGCAAGGCAATCAAGGTTAAGTGACTTGCCCAGGTCACACAGTGAGTAAGTGTCAAGTGTCTGAGACCAGATTTGAACTCAGGTCCTCCTAACTCTAAGGCTGGAGCTCTATCCACTGAGCCCCCTAGCTTCTTCTCTCTCTCTCTCTCTCTCTCTCTCTCTCTCTCTCTCTCTCTCTCTCTCTCTCTCTCTCTCTTTATCTTGTCCCTCCTGGAAAGTTTGTTTTGCTTCTGACCACTGCCTCCCTTAATCTACCCTCCTTTTTATCATCCCTTCCCCTCTCCTCTTACCCCCTTCCTCTCCTTTTTTCCATGTTGGATAAGATATAGTTCTCTACCCAACTAAATGTGTGTGTGTGTGTGTGTGTGTGTGTGTGTGTGTGTATACACACAGACATGCATACATTCTTTCCTCTTTGAACCAATCCTGATGAGAGTGAGATCTGAGCGTTGCCTGCCACCCCCCACCCCCATTTCCCCTCCACTGTAAAATCTCTTCCTTGCACACCTCTTTTATGTGGGAAAAATTTCCCTTCTACTTCTCTCTTCCTTCTTCTCTAAGTGCATCCTTCTTTATCACCTCTTCATTTTTTTTTGAGATCATCCCAACACAATTGACCCACACTCAGGCCCTCTGTCTATGTAGACTCTTTCTAACTGTCCTAATAATAATAAAATTCTTAGGGAGTTACACGTATAATCTCATCTAGACACATAAACAATTTAGCCTCATTAAGTACCTTATGATTTTTCTTTTGTGTTTTCCTTTTTATATTTCTCTTGGGTCTTGTGTTTGTATGTCATATTTTCTATTCAGCTTTGGTCTTCTCATCAGGAATACTAAAATTTCCTCTATTTCATTAAATATCCATTTCTCCCCTGAATGAATATACCCAGTTTTGCTGGATAGATTATACTTGGTTGTAATCCCTTTGCCTTCTGGAATATCATATTCTAAGCCCTTCACTTCTTTGACATAGTTGTCAAATCTTAGGTAATCTTTACTGTGACTCTACAACATTTTAATTATTTCTTTCTGGCTGCTTTTAATATTTTCTCCTTGACCTTGGAACTCTGGAATTTGACTATAATATTCCTAAGAGTTTTCATTTTGAAATCTCTTTGAGGAGATGGTTGGCAGATTCTTTCAGTTTCTGTTTTACCCTCTGGATCAAAGCTATTAGGGCAGTTTTCCTTGATATTTTCTTGAAATATGATGTCTAGGTTTTTTTTTAAAATTATCTTTCTTCATTCTGTTTTCTGGTCAATTTTTTTTCTAATGGGATATTTCACATTTTCCTCTGGTTTTTTTTCCTTCTATTCTTTGGCTTTGTTTTTATTGTTTCTTGATGTCTCATGGAGTCATTAGCTTCTAGTTTCCCAATTCTTATTTTTAAGGAATTATTTTCTTCAGTAAACTTTTGTACCTTTTTCCATTTGGCCAATTCTGTTTTGTTAAGATGTTCTTTTCTTTAGTGAATTTTTGTACCTCCTTTTCCATTTGGCTTATTCTCTTTTTTAAGAAGTTCTTTTCTTCAGTGAATTTTTGTACCTCTTTTACCATTAGGTAAATTCCATTTTTAAGGTGTTATTTTCTTCAGTATTTTTGTGCCTGTTTTCCCAAGCTATTCATTCTCTTTTTATAATTTTCTTGTTCACTCTCATTTCTTTTCCCACTTTTTACTCTACCACTTATCTCTATCTTTAACTTTTCCACAAATTCTTGTTGTACTTATGTCCAATTAGCATTTTCATTTGAAGCACTGCTTGTAGCTATTTTTGTTTTTGTCTTCTTCTGAGTTTATGTTCTGGTTTTCCCTGCCAATGTAACAACCTTTAAAAATCAAGTTCTTTTGTTGTTGTTGCTGTTTACTCATATTTCCAGTCTATTTCTTGACTTTGAACTGAATATTAAAGTTTGACTTTGCTCACCTTGGGGTGGAAAGGTACTGTCCCAATCTTCAGGCTTTTTCATGCTGCTGTTTTAAGAGCTAATTCTGGGAGTCTGCAAGTCTTTGGTGCTTCCAAGGTGGTGTGATCTGGTGAAAGGGGTCTTCACTGCTCTCTCAGTCTGTTCTCTGGTCTTTATCTAGGAAGGGCTCCTGTTCTCCTGAAGCTGCAGGTGCTAGTGCTACCCTCTGCCTTGAAATTGCTTTGGGCCCTGCTTAACCAAAATCCGAAAAGGGAGGGGGGAGACTACATATAACCCTCTATTTATCTAATTAGATAAATTTTATATCAGCTTTTCTTCATTAAAAAACACCCTACCTTCTCCCACCTGTAAGCCTCCCCCTCCTTTTTTTTTTGGTTTGGTTTGGTTTGAATTTATGGAGGAGAATTGTATGTCATAGAAATGACTAAGTTTAGCTCTCTTTTAGTACCTTAGGAAGGAGACCAAAATGACAACAGTATACCTTGTCTTTCTGTCTAGGTAGCAGCAGTGATGGTGGGACTAAAGAGGTATAATGTTGTTGCATATAGCTAATGAAATGGGAAAGAATAAATTTAGTTGCTTAAGATATTTAGGTCCTGGCTTTCTAGTAAATGGTATAGTACATGATCTGTAGTAAGTACTTAATAAATGCTTACTGATTATTGGTTAAGTGCTTGAATTGTTTTTTTTTTAATTTTATTCACTGCTATACTGATTAAAATCAAGGTGCAACTATCTTTTTTTTTCAACAAGCGATGCCCTATTCTACTATAATGACAGTAGCAAATCATGTTCTTCCTATTTATCAGACTTGGCTGTAGTTGGTTTGATGAAGTAAGAATAAAGCAGAGATCAAAATGTTTGACCTTCTAATAAATCACTAGATTTTTAACCTAGCAGTAAATCTAATTATAGTATAATCTAAAGAAAAATCATTAATGCTATATTTTCCATCCTTAATTAATAAAATTCTTCATTTTAGCCTTTCTTTGTGGGAAAAAAAAACGCTTCAAATATTTACATAGAATTTTCTATCCACTAAGAACAATCTCATGAACTTCCTTAATGTGGAATTAATAATTGAAAGGTTTTTTTTTTAAATTTAGAATTAAATAATCAATGTTGCAATAGTAGCAAACATATTGAATATGTTCTGCATTAGATTAGTGTATACTACTGTAGATATTTATAGACTTGAAATTTTATTCTAAATTTTTTTTCTTTCCTGGAAGCAACAGCTGAAGATCATTTCCCAAAATATAATTGCTTGATTATGTAATATCATTAAAAACTCATATTTTATTTGGGAAAAGTGTTGATTTCTTTTTTGGTTCAGTAATGTTAAGTGAACTCATTATTCATTGTTAAATTTTCCAGCTGATTATGCTTCATGTTAAACTAAATATAATCAAAATAGATGTTATCACTTCTCTAGTTTCTCTAAATCTCAGTGTACTTTACAGGCTAATCCTGCTAAAGCTTCTGAGATAAACACTTGACATTTTAAACCAAGTTGGATTGAACACTAAAGATGGATTACAAGACTTCCATCACTTTCTGAGGTTCTTCTAGGACCATGTAGATATAAGTGCACATTATTTTGAAAAATTCGTCTTCACACTTACATTGACACATCTAATAAGAAACTATGTCAAGAGAAGTTGTGGACTCCACTTTATGCAAGTGGTTGTCGACATGTTGGTATGTATATCTATCAATAAATCAGTAAGAATTTATTAAGTTGTGGTGTGCCACACTGTACTGTGTCTTGGGGATACAAAGACAAACATGAAATAACATATACACGTGAATATTTATATATGCATATATTATAATTACAAGGTAACTTTAGAGGTGAAGTCTGTAGCAGTGGGGAGGACCATCAAAGGCCTCCTGCAGAAGGTAGTTCTTGAGCTGAGTCTTTTTTTCCCCTTTTTTTTCCTTTTTAGGCAATTGGGGTTAGGTGATTTGCCCAGGGTCACACAGCTAGCAAGTGGCAAGTGTTTGGTCTGAGGCCAGATTTGAACTCAGGTCCTCCTGACTTCAAGGCTGGTGTTCTATTCACTGCACCACCTAGCTTCCCCCTTGAGCTAAGTCTTGATGGAAAACAGGGATTCCAAAAGGTGGAATGAAGAGGAAGGAGTATGTCAGGCTTGGGGGACAGAGAATGCAAAGTATCCATGCAAGAAGTAGGCTAATATGGCTAGACCATAGAGTACATTGAAGGGATTATTGTGTAAAATGACTGGAAAGGCAAGAAGGGACCAGAGTGTGAACGGTTTTCAATGTCAAACAGAGGAGATTATATTTGATCCTAGAGAGAGAGTCATTGGAGTTTTTTGAGGTGTAGGGGAAGGGGAGGTGACATTGTCAGATTTTTATTTTATATAATTCACTTTGGTGTTTGTGTGAAAGATGGATTGGAGTGGGGATAGCCTTAAGGCAAGAAGACCAATAAACTATTAGCTTCATTTCTCAGGGAAAAGCATTTGTATTAGTTTCTTATTATTTCTAGTAACATAACATTTTTGCTTTTTAGGAATACAAGACTGCTTGCAGTTGATTGCCGATGGTACAAGTCCCACCATACAAAGAGGTAACGCAATGAATCATGTTCCCCCCCCCCATTTAGACACTGGATTAAATGATGATAGATACATTTATCTAATGCTGTCATTCCAAATTACAAGTAAAACAACACATCTGCCTCAAAATTAGAATGCCTAATACCTTTTCTTCATGATGGACTTTAAAATTCCTAATAGTAGACTTCATCCCCCAATTCTTTTCTTCCTGGGGCTAAACGTACCCAATTTCTTCATTCAATCTTAATATGAAATAATTTAAAATTTTTTCATGGCCCTGTGGGTTCTTCTCTAGACATTTGCCAGCTTATTGGTGTTTTTCCTAAAATGTGTTACCCATAGCTGAACCTAATACTTCAGTTTGACTCCAAAGCATAGTAGAACAATTCTACCCTGGTCAGTCTGATTCAATTAATATAGCCCAGTATTGTTTTGGCTTTTTTTTTTTATCTTCCATATCACACTAGGAAGTCTAAATAAAAAGACTATCATTGGTGTCCTATAGAATTTCTAATTTCTTATTAAGACATGTAAAATAGTGATTTAAGTATTCTTTACAAGGTGATGATGAGAAATGTACTGAATGAACCTTAGAGCAATGCAAAAATGGAATGGTATTATAACTATATGTAAAAAAAAAACATAGGCCTTTTGGGAAGTAGGACAAACTCAGGGAGCATAGATAATAAATCATTTTTCCTTCCTGTTGGAGGAATCTCATTAGTCTTCTGGCCTACTATTTACATAATAGATAGTATTCCTAATTAGGGGTTACTAAAACTAATACCATCCAGAGATAGAAGGAATATTAAAAGGGGCCTAATATAACTATTCTCTCATTTTAGAAAAGAGAAAGCTGAAGTTCAGAAAAAGGGGCTTGTTGGGTTTATACAGCTATGAAGTGGTAGAACTAGCACTTAAATCTATCTGTTGTTTTAAGTCCAGGTTTCTTTGATCTGTTAAAAGAGGATATTCATTAGGCCTGGGGCTTTTTCTTCCCTAGTCACAAATATCAAAATGGATCTGTGATGTCACGTATATGGTCATTCCCTCAGTGATACAACAGTATGATGGAAAGGATATTCAGTAATAATACGATGTTGGTTCAGTTGGATATAGATCCATTCATCTCTGTACAGAGATGTTCTCAAAAGGCAGCAAGAAGTCTCCGAGCTCTGTAAAGACTGTGAGCTCCTTGAGAGCAGGGATGGTTTTTTTTCTTTCTTATTACCTCCAGAACTTAGCACAGTGCCTAACATAGGTACTTAATAAATGCTTGTTGACTTGACGGGACTTTTAAAAAAGCATCTAAAAAAACCGTCTACTACTCATTTACTGGGCTTTTTATTCCTTGACTGACTAAGGACCTCCATCAGTGGCTTGAACCTTAGTCCCCTGGACCAAGGAGCTATTGCAAGGATAGTTTCATTTTTTTTTTTAAGGGGGAAACTACACTTACCTGGGTAGCAAGGACTTTCTTTAATCTTTTTGAATAGTATTTTATTTTTTTTCCAATCACATGTAAAGATAATTTTTAACCTTCACTTTTTAAAAATTTCTAATTCCATATTATCTTCCACCCTTCACTATTCCCTCTCTAAGATGGTTAGCAATTTAATATTTTATGTATGTGCAATCATGTAAACCATATTTCCTTATTAATCATATTGTGAAAGAAGAAACAGGCCAAAAGGAAAAAAAAAACATGAGAATAGCAAAGAAAATGAAAATACTGTGCTTTAATCTATATTCAGACCCTATTATTTCTTGCTCTGGATGTGGACTCATGACTCTGTCATGAGTCCTTTGGAATCTTTTGAATAATTATATTGGTGAGAAGAGTTAAGTTGTTCATAGTTGACCGTCTACAATGTGTAGCAGGGACTTTCTACTTTTTTTTTTAAAGGAAATTATACTATATAATTTTTTTTAACATTTAAAAAAATTTGAGTTCCAACTTCTCTCCCTCCAGTCCCTTCCCACCCACTGAGAATGCAAGCAATATGATGCTCATTATAATGTGAAATCATGAAAACATATTTCTATATTAGCCATGTTGTAAAAAACAAGAAAAATAAAAAAAGTAAGAAAATTATGCTTCAGTTTGGACTCAGAGTTCATCAGTTCTTTCTGTGGAGCTGGTTAACAATTTTTATCATAAGTCTTTCCTAATTGTCTTGGATCTTTGAGAATAACTAAATGATTCACAACTGATCATCTTACAATATTGCTTTTACTGTGTACAATAATCTCCTGATTCTGCTCACTTCACTTTGCATCAGTTCAAATAGGTTTTTCTAGGTTTTTATGAAACCACCCCCCTTGTCATTTCTTATAACACAATAGTGTTCCATCATAACTTGTCCAGCCATTCCCCAATTGATGAGCATGGTCTCAATTTCCAATTATTTGTCACCACAAAAAAAGCTGCTATAAATATTTTTGTACATATAGATCCTTTTGCCTTTTCTTTAATCTCTATGGGACACAGACCTGATAGTGCTGGGTCACAGGCTATGCAAAGTTTTATAAATAAACTCCACAACAGTTTATTAGTGTACCTATTTTCCCAGATCCCCTTCAGTATTTGGCATTTTTGGTAGGTGTGAGGTGGTACCTCAAAGGTGTTTTAATTTGCATTTCTCTAATCAATAGTGATTTAGAGCATATTTTCACATGACTATTGAAAGATAGCTTTGATTTCTCCTCAAAACTACCTGTTCATATCCCTTGACCATTTATCAACTGGGGAATGGCTCTTATTTTTAATTTCATGCAGTTCCCTACATGTTAGAAAAAAGAGGACTTTATTTGAGAAACTTGCTGTAAAATTAAAAAAAAATACATTACTTCATTATCTATGGTACCATGAATCAAAATGTAGTTTCCCCATTTATGTCTTTTAATTAGGCCTATTTTTGCTTTTACTTTGTCTGACATTATAATTTATATTCCTTCCTTTTTTACTTCAGCTGAACCATAATAGATTCTACCCCAGCTTATTATTTTAACTCTGTTTGTCTCTTTCTGTTTAAAGTGTACCTCTTGTAAAAAATATATTGTTGGATTCTGGTTTCTAATCCATTCTGCTATCTGCTTCTGTTTTATGGGTGAGTTCATCCAATTCATATTCACAGTTATGATTACTAGCTATGTAGTTTTCTCTATCCTATTTTCTTTTTTTTATCCTTCTGTCTGTTTTTACCCTGTGCCTCCTCAATTTGCTTCTGACTACTGCCTCCCTTATTTTGCCCTCCCTTTTGTCACCCCCCCCATACACCCTTTATCTTATTCCATTCCCCTCCTCCTTCCTCACTGGGTAAAATAGAGTTCTATACCCAACTAACAGTGTGTATGTGTGTGTATCTGTGTGTATACATATATATATATATATATATACACACACACACACATATATAGTGTATATATATGTATATATATACACACACCTATATATATCACACATATATGTGTGTGTACATGTGTGTGTGTCTTCCCTCTTTGAACCAGTTCTAATGTTGTTGCCTGCCGCACTCATTTCCCCCCTACTATAAAAAGCTCTTTCTTATGCAACTTTTAAATTAATTAATTAATTTTTTGTTTTCAGCATTCACTTCCGTAAGCTTTTTAGTTTTAAATGTTCTCCCCTCTCTTCCCAAGACAGCATGCAATCTGATATAGCCTCTCCATATATATATATATATATATATATATTCCTATTAAACACATTTTCACGTTAGTCATGTTGTAAAGAAGAATTAGAACCAATAGGAGGGGGAAAAAAGGCCAATAGTGTACTTTGATCTGCATTTGACTCTATAGTTCTTTCTCTGGATGTGGATAGCATTTTCCATCATGAGACTTTTGGAGATGCCTTAGATCCTTGCATTGCTGAGAAGGGATGAGTCTATCAAAGTTAGTCATCATACAATGTGGCTGTTACTGTGTACAACGTTCTCCTGGTTCTGTTCACTTCACTCAGCATCAATCCAAACAAGTCTTTCCAGGTTTTTCTGAAGTCTTCTTGCTCATTATTTCTTACAGCACAGAAATATTCCATTACATTCATATAGCACAACTTGTCCATTCATTCCCCAATTGATGGGCAGCCCTTCAATTTCCAATTCTTTGTCACCACAGAAAGAGCTGCTATAAATATTTTCGTACATGAGAGTCCTTTTCCCACTTCTATAATCTCTTTGGGATACAGTCCTAAAAATGGTATTGCTGGGTCAAAAGGCATGCACATTTTTATAGCCCTTTGGGCATAGTTCCAAATTGTTCTCCAAAATGGTTGGATCAGTTCACAACTCCACCAACAATGCATTAATGTTCCAATTTTCCCACATCTTCTCCAACATTTATAATTTTCCTGTTTTGTCATGTTAGCCAGTCTGATAGGTGTGATGTGGTACCTCAGAGTTGTTTTGATTTGCATTTCTTTAATCAATAATGATTTAGAGCATTTTTTTTTCGTATGACTATAGGTTTCTTTAATTTCTTCATCTGAAAACTGCCTGTTCATATCTTTTGACCATTTATCAATTGGGGAATGACTTGTATTCTTATGAATTTGATTCAGTTTTCTACCTGTGTGAGAAATGAAGCCTTTATCAGAAACATTGGCTATAACGTCCCAGTTTTCTTCTTCCCTCCTAATCTTGGATGTATTAGCTTTATTTGTGCAAAAACTTTTCAATTTAATGTAATCATAATGATCCATTTGCATTTCATAATGTTCTCTATCTCTAGTTTGGTTATAAATTCTTCGGTTCTCCATAAATCTGGCGGATAAACTATCTCTTGCTTTCCCAGTTTACTTATAGTATCAGCCTTTATATCTAAATCATGTACCCATTTTGACTTTATTTTGGTATATGGTGTAAGATTTTGGTCTATGCCTAATTTCTGCCATACTCTTTTCTAGTTTCCCCAGCAGGTTTTGTCAAATGGTGAGTTCTTATCCTAGAAGGTGGGGTCTTTGGGTTTATTAAGGAGTAGATTACTATAG